ACATCTTATTGGGATATTATCATGAGTGTATTGTTATCAGTATTCAAAAGATTATTATTATTATTATTAATCATGATTGAGGATAAAGGTTAAAGGTGAGAAAATTAATGTGTATTCTTATTGGCAAGAATAGTGATTTAGATCATTACCTCTTTGAGTTGTTTATGAAGATCTCTAATGATGGCATTTTGTTCGTCCATGTATTCTTGAAGTTTGGGATCGACAGGTTTGGAGGTGAAGGTGTTTTCATCAGATGATGAGTTAGCAATACAAGTACGTTTTTTTTGATTAAAGTTTAAGACCAGATCATGTAAAGCGGGTTTGTGAGGATATTAAAGGTGGAAAAGATGGAGATAGAGTCTGAATTAAATTAATACTTTTCTAACTTTGAGATGCGTACTTTCAATTCAGATATATCCTTTTGCATCTTTGTTAACATATTAAGGATTTTGTCGAGTTTTTTATTTGTTTCATCAGATACTGTATTTTGAGAATTGTGGATGGAATTGTCGATTGTTTATAATTCTTTTCCTTTGTTGATGATTGGTTTTGGAGGAGTAGGAGATTGTTGGTTATTCTTCTTTTAAGTGATGTTTTTAATGATGAGGGAGCGAGATCTAACAGGTTTGAAACGATTGTATAGTCATTGAATAGAAGGTAATTTAGATCTAGAGGATCTGGATTCTTCGACATCATCTGTTGATTTTTTTTGTTCTAGAATGATAGAGTATTTCATTACTATATGATCAGCTATGTCATATTTATGGTAGCATTTGGAATCAGTTGCATACCATTATAACTTGTTATTACCAAAGCGTAATCATTAGTGATAGCTTTCTTTAAGTCCTCAGCTGATTCGAAATAAAGAATAACGAATGGTCTGGATTTATAATTATTTGAGCGGGAAATATAATAAGATTTTACTTTAACAGCAAGCATGATATCTTGGATATCACAGGCGGAAATTCCAAAGGGAAGGTTAGTTAATTTAACCCTATATTCATTCCTCTCTTTGACTTGTTTTAAAGAGAAGCATGCAGGATAGATGCGAACACAATCATCATAAATATATCTAGACTATGTAGTATAAAACAATTTAATTACATTCAGATTATTATATGTGATATATACATATTGCCATAAATCCCTAGTCTGCATGCAGATGTTTGTGATAGTTTCATATTTGGAGAAAATTGAGATAATCATATCTTTTTTAAGGTTGAGATGAATATCAGTAATACGCAGAGTTCTATTTTGAAACTGTATATTATCCTTATACGTGGTATATTTCACAAATTTTTCAATGTTCAATTTAGGGAATTGAGTCAAGAGTGCAGCTTTCATAGATTCTGCATTATCAAAGTAAATGACTGCAGAACGTAAAGTTTACACGATGTACATTCAGCTTTCTGAATGTATTATCATACGCAAACGCCTTATTGATCATGTAGATAATTTGGGGGTGAAGAGTTCTTTGGTATTTTTACTAATGGAGGTAGCATAAGCAAAAGGAGAAGGATAAGAAATGACAATAAAGTCAGTATTTTCAGTTTTCATGTTCATATCGTTTTCAATGAAAACAAACTCTTAGATGTTGAGAACATTAGGTGGTGAGGTAGACTGTCTGACGTAAGTATTGTCAACAATATCCTTATCACTGACCAAGGATAGGTTAAGCTTTTTTCTGAGACGAGAAGAACCGCTAGCCTCAGGTTGCTTAGCTTTGAATGAGTCGTAATAACCTTTGTTAGTTTTATTAATGGAAGTTTTTGTAGATTTTCTAATCATTTTGTAAAAAAATTTTTTCAAATAAATTAAACTCTTTCAAGTATTTTAAATTATTTGTAAAAATGAGCTAAAGAATTAGCTAATAGAGTTGTAAATTTTTGAATAAAGTTTTTAAGCGAAACAATTTTATTTTCTTAGTAAATTTCTAAAATTTTTAGAAATTCAGGGTGAAAGGAGAAAGAATTTTTCAATTCATGAAGTTTAAGTATTTCATTTACTTCTTCTGTAGACCTTTTTTGTACAACTTCTTCTTGGTTTGCGAATAAGAGATATAATTTATATAATTTTTTAAAACTCTGATACACTTCTTCATTATACCAGTCTTTGAAATCTGCCATTTTTTCATTATAAATTTCCTCATTTGAAGCTCGTTGCTTTACTACATATCTGCAATGATCATCTAGATCCCTTTTACATTATATTGTTTTCAAATAGTCCATATATGTCAATCCCATTTTATCATTTTTTTTGTATCTTGGCTATATGCCACTTTAATTACCTCAACTAATGCTGATTCGATATCTTTATAGTTAATCATTTTGTAAAAGTATTGAATGTTTGTATTAATAAACAAAAACTTTCGTTTAAAATAAAATATTTATTTTCTCTTCTTCAGGAGAAATAGTTAATATAGTGTATTTTTTTATTATATAAACTTATTCTTTGGTTTATAAAATCACTTTGCAATTGTAAAACAGTAAGAAGGTATGATAGGTGAATATTATTACAATTATTTACTCATAACTGGATATGTCTATAAGCGAACTTATCGTCAACCTGAAGGGTATTTTGAATATTGAAAAGCTAAACCTCGCTTTTCCTGTAAGGTTTGTGGCAAGCTGATTAGCTCTAAATCTGGCCTTTGTAGAAAGCATTCTGGTACCTATTATGTAACCCAATATTTTAATAGGCTTCGAGCTAAAGCTAATACTGATGATTTAATCCAGATGAAAATTGATGAATTGCTTCTAGAGCTATCAGCGGACAAAACTGAAGAAGTAGGAGAGCAGAGTTCATAGCAGATCGAAACACTACAGGTGACTAATACTATCGCTCTAATTATAGATGAAGAATCAGAAGATATTGGAGTTGAAGCTCTAATTCTCAAGTCCGATGATGAGGTTACAACCCTTCAATCTAAAATCGTTACTTCTGGTAACATTTCTAAAACTCAGATTTATGACTCAGATGGTGAGAATATGGGTATTGACCCCTTTGAAGATTAGTAGAGCTAAATTATCTTAACTGATAAGTTTTTATTTACATCTTGCTAACTAATTTTTTTTTACATTATGCTAATCTTTTTTTACATCATACTATTCTGATTTTTTTTACATTATGATATCCTTTTTTTTCACTTAAGGTCTGCCCGTTCTCACTGCTTGGTCCACTCAGGTAAAAATTTTTATTTTGCTAGAAGTATTTTTTTCAAAAAAGTCTAGCTAGAATGCTTTGAAAATAAGATTGAAATGCATTTTGATAATTATCATTCTTAAGCTCCTAGGCAAAAATAAAGCGATCTGCTTAGGTGTAAATTTTTATTATTTCAGAATTATAATCAGGAAGGCGTGCAAAGGCAAGAAAA